TGGATGGTGGTGGCAGCGGTGACATGTGCGACGACTGCTTCACCTCCATGACTCGTGCTGAAAACGACACACCTCGCACGGACTTGCGCTTGCGGCAGCCCTTGCGGCGCTCGCGGTAGCAGCTCATGCCCTGGCGGCATCGGCAAATGGAAACCACCCCGTCACCCCACCACTGTGTGCCCGGCAGGTCTCCAGCTTTGCGGCTAAAATCTGGAATTGAATTTGGATCTGTATAATCTCGCTGAAAGGAAAAAGGACATCAGAAGTCTCCTGGTGACTATCAAGAACCGATCCGATTGAATAGTCTTGGCCTGTGCAACTTCTCTAGTCCAAAACCACGAGAAGTGGACGCAACTCTGCTTCCACTCGCCTTCTTGAACAGAAGGCGAACGCGATGGTTGACGAGCACACCCTGTTTCATTGGGAAGCCCTGGCATGCGGAGAAATTCAACTTACCCTCCTAGCTGGCACCTTTAGTAAAAAGCAAGGGAAAACAAAGGGCACAGTAGCAACACTACCATCAACCCTTGCTCATATGTGCCCTGGATCTTGACAAAAGGAGGATATGCAAATTCTACAAATCATCATAGCATATGATTGCTGTCCAGCAGAATCTTGACGAAACGGACAAGACTGTCGGCGACGAGGCGGCACCGCCCTCCTGCTTATCGTTGCCGCCACCAATGCGGAAGATGTAGCCCTGGCGCAAATGCAAAATACTTCAAGGGGCAGGTCTTGCACCTGTATCTGATTTGGCCATTAGTTTGCCAAGAGTGAGGTGGAACATCTACTGACACGCTTCGGCTCAAACTCACATTCCACACATGGGATCATGTTTCTATCATTTCTGCAAGAGTGCTCCGCGAACCTCCCACAATTTAATACACATGTACCATGACATGGGCCATGTTCAAGACGTCATGTCGCGCCAAGTGGGTGATCGGAGTCCCACAGTCATGCACTCCGCTCACGTCCGCATGGATCTGCGAAGCTGCATTTGCTTCCGAACCAGTGCTCCTGTTGGGAAAACAATTCTTCCGGCAGCCTTGAACTCATCTCCAAGCGAGTCGCCTGACACCTTGCAAATGCTGAGAGACAAGAAACAAGTTCCACGTAGACATGCCATAAACTAGCATCTGCGTTGTCAAAGGTGCGTCATTATGAATATGTGTATATATATATATAGTATTATATAGTTGGACAGAACTGTTGCACACCTCCTGTGCCATGCGCTTGTCAAACAAAGGGTACAACTTCTTGTCATCATCGATCTCGATCTTCCTTCAAAGAGCGCCATCATCCATGTCTTTGACATGTCACAGGCAACAGCACTGGGAATATAGGTTGCATGGGCTGGCACTTTTTCAACAAGCGTCTTCTGCATTCCCGTCGTCGGATTCGCGATGTTGATCTTCATGGCCTTGCTGCTCAGACCATCCAAAGCTAAATAAGTAACCCATTTTCTGCCAGCTCTTTTCCTACAGAGTGAGGTGTTTATTCTGTTATTTCTAGCAATAGACCGAAGAAAAGTGTGACGTTTGCGAACCTGGCCAATTGAAGATCTGACACAGCTCTTTCAGCTTGCGACTGGGCTCAGGTGGGCTGCACAAGAAAACTACCTGCCACAGGTTTTGCCTTGAGCCCAGAAGATCGCAGTATTCCTCACAAATCACATGCAGATCTGGCCCTTCTGTGAACGGCTGCAAATGCTGCACATACTTGGACGGTATGGAACACACACGTCAATGCACCCAGTAAGCGGGACGATTGAATTCAAGAAAACGTGTGTCATCTTGTGTCACACGCAAAGCAACCCACAGCCCAGCCAGCCTAATGGCCGCTCCGTCCACGTCAAGCACTTTTCAGACGAGTTTGACACCTGACTGCCACGCTGCGGAAATGCAGAAAAATCTGTGTCCGCCAGCCATCAGCTCACTGTTATCAGACTAAGTTACTAAATCGCAGTTGGATAATAGCTAGATATACCTGCTAAGGTACGGCAGTTTATGCAGCCTTTTTACGGCAACTTTTATTTACATATGAAAATGCATATAGACGAAACTAGCGTGCAGCCATTCCAAGCCCGTGGAGCCCGGATCTATTTGGCAGCACCCTCCCTGAGCACAAACACTGTGGTAGGTATGGGTGTTCCTTTGGTAGGGCTAGCCGCTGGAAAAGCTTACTGGTACATCAGCACATAGCTCCACAGTCTAATTCTGCTGGCCAGCTTCGGAAGCCTTCCGCAGCTTGCGGGCACTGCAGCAGCTGAGCTGAAGTCCTATCCACAAGGATGTTTGAGACAAGTTTTCCCGATGTTCGCTGCAAATTGATGGTGAAAAGGATAGCTCCAGCGAAAGCAATGCATTGCGAAAACGAAACTTTGCGGCCTCATCTGTCATCGTGGTGAACTTTTTACTTCAGTTTCTCCACTTCTGCTTGCATCCGTGCCTTGCTCAAGGGCTGGAGGCGTAAAGCCGAACACAAAGCCAACTACAGGATGCACTACTACTACTACTACTACTATTATTACTGCTACTACTACTGCTGCTGCTGCTACTCCTGCTACCGCTACTACTCCTACTACTACTACTACTACTACTACTGCTACTACTGCTACTACTGCTACTACTGCTACCGCTACTGCTACTACTACTGCTGCTGCTACTGCTGCTACTGCTTGTACTGCTACTGCTAGTATTTACGGCGTGAACTTTCTGAACCCAGCCAAGTCGGCCCTGAAAGAGTAAAGGAGATGAATACAACAGGGAGGGGAGGACAGGAATGAAATACTGATTGTGGCAATCCTGGTTTCCCTTGTTCAACACTGCAGGGCGTTGTCATAGTCATACGTAGTGTTTTGCCTGCAACTTTTGAATATGTTTGATGTGTATAGAAAAGATTTGGAGCACTGTCCTGCTCGCTGAATCTGAGAGAGGCTGCAATGACAAAATGACATGCAGTGACCCGAAGAGTCGCCATTTCTCCCTGTGGCAGGTCGTTGGTCACTCGTCCTTCATCTGCTCTCACTCCGCAGCGCCCTTCTTGGCCTGGACATCAGGGGTGAGGTCTCCAACAACTGGCCGAAACACTGTGGATTCTATGGGAATATGTCCCGTGGGAAACTGAAGCCGTTGAGTTCCACACGTAGCATCACGTAGCTATAACATGTTTTTTGCCGCTTCTGCCACATCCTTGAACTGAAGTGTGTGGTGTCGGCCGTGTCGGCCCAACAAGGTGCCTTCTTCTTCTGCAGCTCCGCTGCGCGCTTCTCCTTCTGCTCATGGTGGTACTCAGAGAGGCGCTTCTGGTAGGCTGCCTTGGCCTCCTTGCCTGCTTCCATGCGCTTGCGGGTGAGGGCCTGCCACACAGAAAGTCGGCTTCATGCATGCCAACCCCCCAACAAAAAGAAAAAAGAAAACAAGAAACCATTCCGCTTGGTAGAACTAAGGTGGTTCGTGTTGAGGGGGCAATCATTTTCCGAATCAGTTTAGTCCTGACGGTGCAAACGTTTTTGGTGGTTGAATCTTTGGGGTGTACCTTCCCAGAAATCAACCAATGAGGCCGGTGGCAAGATGCAACACAGAAACACACATCAAAGCAAACGCAGCGCCTTGAAATACCGCTTTCGCTGCAACAGTTGAGGAGTAATCAAGCGCTGGATCTTCGGGGCCTGTGGTGAGTCTTGAACTGTTCCATTGAGTTTGTTTGTGGTTGGCATGTCGCGAGTAACTGATGGAACGATCATGTTCACTGGGGACTGCAATATACACGAAAACCCTTCCTGGATGGTCAAACATCTGTCCTGGGAATGTCATACAAAACTCGAAACGGAGATGTTCTGCCTTGCTCTTCTTGCCTTCCTTCACTTCACGACGGACCACGAACTGGCGCACATCATCCTGCAGAGGCCACGCAGTCCAGCACGACAGTACCGGAAACCTGTTGGCCTTTCTAGAAACAAGAAATGGTTGCCAACCTGAATTCATCTGAATTCCATGCCCAACGATTGCTGGTCCTTCTTCTCCAAGCCGAAAAGTTTGCGGATCTTGGAGGCCTTAGGGGCAAAAAACACGCTTGCAACATCTTGCCAACGATTTCCTTGCACAACGGCTGCCATCAGAAAACCCACAACACACTTTCAATGTTTCGAAGTCTGCGTGTGAGGAAGCTGGGGGTTTGCCAAAAAAATCATCGTTGCATACACGGCATTTCACATGATCCCTGCCATTTTGAGCGCCCGCAACTGAACTCCGAGCCGCCAGGCCCTCTTTGGTCCCAATCGTCGGGGTTTATTGTCGTCCTAAGCTACATCAGTTCTGTGGCGGAGAGCGAACAGTGCTTGAATACATTGCGCGCCAATGTAAGTATAAAATTGCATGCACAAAACAAATTGGCCACCCCTTCGCACGCCGCACGCTAGGTGCGACATGTTCCGACTGTCACTCGACTCGCCCCAGACCTTTGGTGCAGTTTTGGCAGCACAGAGTTTGGCCAAGGTGGAACTCTGGCGTGGCGCAGTGGACGGAGGAGAAGCTAAAGCGTGTTTGGGGCATTTGAGCACAGAAATTGTTTTTTACCGCTGGTTTTCGCATTACGTGTGCTGTTTCTGGACTCGTGCGGGGGGGTGATCAGTGATGGGGCCGTGTTTTAAACTCGACAAGGTTGGCCGAAAAAACTCATCAAGGAAAAAACGACACGCTCGACAAAAAACGAACGCAAGTATTTGACAAAAAGTGCTAGTCACAAGCCCGACAAGGACAGGCGAACATGAAAACATATGAAAACCACCACAGGAACGAGTTCTCTCTCACTCTCTCTCCTTCCCTCCCTCCCTCCCTCCCTCCCTCTCTCTCTCTCTCTCTCTCCCTCCCGCGGTCGCCCTGTCCAAGAGTTTAATGTCTATGTCTCCATCTATCTTGCCACTGTCTAGCTGCATCCAATGGCAAATCTCATGTCATAGATCAACATCCCTCTCTGCATTTAGTTGCATGTGTCTCAACTAAGCATCAAGAGCACAACTCACAAGAAGAAGGCAAAAACCCGTCAAAACTCCGTCGAACTGAAGGGTCGAGAGGAGCACATATCACAGGTTCTGGTTGTCGGACGGACCTGAAATGTAATTTTGTCGTGTATATGGAAAGTGTTTTTGACCACCATGGAGATCTTGCCGGGGAAAGAACACGTGCTCATCAGTGATCGGCGAGGATGGACAAGGGCGCTTCACACATCCGGCCTATTCCCCACAAAACACAGACCTGGAGGGAACAAAAGTTGTTTGCAAACGCTGCATAAAACACATGTCAAATAACAGGATGTTTGTCGGCTGAGTTTGCGCCACACCAAAAAAGTGTTCAATCCGCCTGTCCAGCAACAGCTGCATCGCAAGGGCATTAACAAGCATTGCGTTTGCGAGACGCCGCTGTGTGGCCTTTTTTGGTATTGTGCACTCATCATGTGTGCATGACGGTCCATAAACGCTGCTCCCTGCATGTCCAATAATCTATTAATTTTTCAGGCGAGGTCTTCGTAGAAATTTTATCGGCATATATAATTTGGTGTGGGTGACCCGCTGGGACACTTTTCCAAGAACAAATACCACCACACCAGACCAAACGGAAATTTCTATAAATTGAGATGATGCGACGTCACAATAGCAGGGGCTCTTTTAGTAGGTATGCATGCACTATGAACAAAGAAGGTGTGTATAAAATAGAGAGGTGTTCGATTTTACGCAGTATGCCAAAACCTGAAAATTGCACCCCAAAAAAAGAAACACGCATGTGATATCGGATCCTTTTTCACCATGCCCCCAAGTCTGCGAGCCTTTTGCGATTTATCCCTCGTGGACAGCCAACCTCACGGACAGCAAATCTCACTAGACCCCTGTTGGATGGGTGAAGGATCCAAAACAAAATTGATAAGGATCAAAAAATACATTGTTTTAGGAGATCAGAACAAGTAATTAGTAATTAATTGCGATCAAAATAGTAATTGTCAAGTTGGCTCAAGTTTTTGTGGGCCCCCGCTGGGGTAGTGAGCCATGCCGCTTTCGCAAGAGCAACTACTTTTGCTGAAAACTCCCGAGACGAAGATCGAATACCAAAACAACGCAAAGAAACCCGGGTCCAAAGCATGGGAACGTTACGAAAAGTACAAGGGTGCAAAAACGGTGGGCGAAACTCAGGCTTTGGGGGCAAAATGGGAGGACCTGACCGGAGATTTTGAGAACAAGTACTTGAAAATCACTGAGTTGAAGGAGAACGAACACAGCTCCTCTGCAAAGAGGGCGGCGCCAATTGGGACACCTGATCGTGAGGCCATGGCCCGTTCCAAGCAACCAAGTACTGAGGTGCAGCCACTTGGTATGGGATCGGAGATGGAGATGGAGACAGCCAAAGTCGAAACGAACCATGCAACCATTCAGGCCTTAAGGATGATGAGGGAGGAAATAGCCAATGGCATGGGAGAAATGGAACACCGTTTGGTGACCAAAATCAATGAAACGACAAGGGATTTGAAGAACGAGTGGTAGAAAGGGATGCCCGTGTCATGTTGGAGGAACGTGTGCGCCAACTGGAGGCGAAACCAAGGACATCGATGTTTGAGGAGGAGGAGGCCGAGACGGTTGTCAAATCCATTGCTGTGATAGGAGGTTTTTACTGACAAGTCGCTTGCTGAGGCGGAAGAACTGTTGAGGACCTTGCTCGTTGACATCGAAGGTTTTCAGGACGTTTCCATGGCAGGCACCGAGGTTCCGCTAGGGTTGGCATCTTTCGCCAATAGTGTGAAGTCCTTTTTCCACTGAGACGTCCCGCAAGGTTGGAGGGAAATCGTTCCTTGCAAAATGCCAAGTTGTGGGTAGCAGAACACAAGTCCCGGACAGAGAGAAACCGTTCGAAGGTTGTCAGCAAGTTGAAAAGTTTTTGATCCAGATGGGTGAATATGCGCCACAAAGCGTCATTGTTAGCTACAAGACTTTCAGGAGGGAAGATGGTGCCTGTTGCGGTGGTTTCCCCTTTTGGAGGTCAAGTGGTTGGACGATGAACCGACAAGTGAGGCAGTGAATCAAGCGTTGCGTTGACGGAGGTCATTGCCGATTTGGAGTAGGGATGGCATATTGCAAAAACAATTGGCCACAGAAAGTTTGTGCAAAGGACACGCCATAACCATGGTGCAGAATATGTCACAACGAATGAAGTGGGCGATAATTTTGTATCCCAAACTCCTGCCAGCAGTGACGACCTGCAGAATTCGTTCAGTTCCATATAGTAGCTAAAAATTTGCAAAGCATTCGTCAAGAAACTCGGTATGAGGATTTTCTCATTGAAGTTGACGCCTTGTGTTTTGACCTTTTGTGTGTGTCCGAGACGTGGCGAACTGAACGAGAAGAACTTTTCACAACTATGCTGGGGAACCGCGTGTTCCTGAGTGGTGGTCATATTAGCAAGGGTGTTGGCATAGTCGTGTCCCATGCGCTTGCGAGAAAAATGACGGAAGTGCATTTCCATGCTTTTCAGAACGATTATGTAGCTTACACTTCGCAGTTGGCACTTGCAAGTTCCGATTGTTTTCTGTATATTTTCCAACTTCATGGGAACCGGATGCCGAAGCTGATGGACTATACGATTTGATCGCCCTTTTGGTTGCCGATTGTTATGATGCCGGTGCGATTCCAATCGTGGCTGGATAGGGGCTGGTGAACATCTGTCCAGTCTTTTTGCCTTGATGGGGCAGCCGATCCGGGAGAATATATGGAAAATATTGAGGACAAGCAAGATCTCTGTCCAAGGCAGGTCAAACAATCGCCGTATTTCAGGGGTGGGGCTGGCCTAAGGGACCTCTGAAATAATTAGTAGATCGACTGATTGACTGGAATGTGTGGATAGCGTGATATGGTCCATAAAAATATTTCAGGGGTGGGGTACCCCCTAAACGACCTGTTAAAAAATAAATAAGGTGGGGGGAATGTTGCCAGTATTTGCCACTTATTCCATGGAAAATATGGAAAAGGTTGAAAACATTGAGGAGTTTAGAAGAAGGAACCAGTAAGGGGGGCAAGGCTTACCCCACAGACATCATGAATAATATTCAAGTAACTATTTATTTTGGGGGTAGATGACAGGTAGCCCACCTGCCAAATAATATTGTGTTTGTGCTCGAATGGATGGATCCCAGATAAGGTAGCCCCCTGATAGGATGGATCCCAGCGAGAATTTGATGAGAGTGTGAAGCCGGCTGCTTTGGCTACCAGAGTTTTGGATCAGGTGTGCCTTGGCTAGTTCAAACTGATTGCAGCGCGACAAACGATGACTTGGTGGCAAAGCATAGCTGATTGATGTGGGAGTCAGACGTTCACGGTCTGACAAAGAAGCCGAGAGAGAATGGCAGAAAAGAGGGCGCGATTATTTTTTGTAGGTGGTTGCGCTTGCACCACCTACGTTTGCTGTTACTGAACACTTTCCTAGGAGCTGTCCCCATATATCTGCCCACTTAGGTGGGTGGTCTATACCACCTCCCCCCCCCTATCTTATCATGCTGTGTGGTTTATATTTTATATCTTGATTGTCTCAGCTCTGTGGACAAGCACATCAAATTATGTTTGCTCTGGCACACGTACCCCTCCACCTGCCAAATAATTTCCAATAAACCCTGCATCATACCTTCTTCCACGGGTTATTGTTATTCTACGTCATTCAGTGCTAAAAATTATTTGGGAACCATATATCAAAATAATACTTTATTATTTTTGCAACATGCCATACCATATTTTTTCTACATGGTAGATATTATTTTGACCCACCACCTACATGCCTTTCCAAATAATACTTTATTGATATTATTTCAAAAAAATTATTTGGAGACGAGACGGTCACCTCAAAATAATTTCGCTCGGCGGGGGCTATGTGGCTGGGGATTTCAATGCTTCGTTGAGCCAAAGGTTGCCGCTTGATGATGTTGACACCCTCGGTTTTTGTGGCGATGGACCTCGCAATGAGAGAGGGTGGATGCTTTCACGATGGGTTGGTCAAACCGGTTTGCTTGTCCAAAGCCGCATGGATGCCAGGTTGCCCCATTCCGATGCATGGACTTGACGGCGATCAATGGATGCAGAGTTGGTGGAGATCGATTAATTTTGGCGTCTTCGCGGTGTCGGTTGGTAAATTTTTGGTGCGATTCTTCTTTATCTATTGGTTTGGATCACAGATGTGTGCATTGTGGAAACATCCCTGTCCAAATTTCATGCCTGCCGCCGGCGTGGTTTCAAAAATTGGCGGCCCAAACTTGATCACAACAACGTGACATCTTCGTATCATGCAATCATTGCCGAAAAACTAGCGAAAACAATTATTTTTCGTGGGAAACGTTGGAACATATCCTTTTGGCAGCTGCGGGTGCGGGTGGACATTGCTGGTTGGAGTACACACGTTTTTCACCTTCCTTGGAATTGCGGCATCTTCGGCGAGCCAGGCGATGCGCGACAACACCGTCACAACGAAAAATGCTGAGCTTGCACATTCGAACACTTCACCGTTCGGAATTGAAAAAGTGGAGA